CACATTACTGATTGAGAGAGAGAGAGAGAGATTCTTCTTCCAACACCTGCAGGTCCCTTGGACCCCGACACTACCTGGACTGATCCTGGGTGGATCTCGCATGGCCAGGCTCATGGTGCAGCCTGGGGACTGCTGGCTAATGCCCGCTGAAGAGTTGGCACCTAGGGAAGGTGGGAGAAAGGCCAGACTCCAAGGACAGAGTTGGGAACTATGCAGGGAACAACTTGTTTCACATGAGAAAGGAGACATACCTAGAAGAGCTCTCACTCCCTCAGGAGGGCTGGACCAGGGTTGCAAGCAGGGCACTGATCCCTTATACACAGGAGGGCGGGCGGGCAGGCACTGTTCCTCACTGGATGCTGCAACTAGCTCCAGGCAGGCAGTTGGGGACAGGCTGCTCATTGCCCTTGCTTCTCGCTCAGTGTTGCGCAGGATTTCTCACTTGCAGCAATTTCTCCAGCATCTGAGGGAGTAGGGGTTTGTTTCCTCTCTAAGCTTGCTGCAGATAATACAAACACAGTCTGCTTCCCTGCATCCAGGGTCCAGATCATTGCTAGATGCAAATCCCCACACTTACAAATCCATACACAGCACCAGTTGCAGTAGCATTAGGTTAATCCAGCTTCCAGCTCTTTGCAGTCGTCTGCCCACAAGTCCCATGGGCATCAAGAGCCATGTCACTACAAGTAGCTGTTTTGTCTCACATGAAGAAAAAGAAGCTTCTGCAGCTGAAGCAATCTTTAAGCCTATTTTACTTGCAGAAATTAGGGAATAATAGATGACCCATTTCCCTGGAAATAAACCTGGCATTTTCTCAGCTGCTGCTTGGGGTCCTGTGTATTGTGCCTCCCCCCCCTCAAGAGAAATAGAGTTTAGCAGAGCTCCACAAAAATACCAAGTGTCAGATAATTCAGAGTAAAGCAGCTACCCACATCTCTTTGTCCCTTTTCTGACAGCAGATACATTTACCTCTAAAGCAACAGAGGAGGAAGAGTGGTCAGCTAGTCTGTGCCCTGCCCCAGACATGATATTTAGCTGCATCTCTTAGAGCTGCACAGGAAAGCCAAGGAGGCGAGGAGGAGAGCTGCCAGGGTTTAAAGCATGCAACAGGGCATCAGGTCTCATGCTTTAGCACTTACCAGAGAGCCGAGCGCCTGGCTGCAGCATTAGGAGCCATGTCCACCAGGGCAAGGCTTCTACAGACTCATCCCTACAAGAGGTATTTTTACAGGCAAGAGAACAATTTAAACACAGGAGGAGCCCACAGTGCTGAGACAGGAGGCCCAGAGTCACCCTGGCAGGTACAGCAATGAGGGCAAAAGGAAGCAGCAAAAAAACACAGGAAAGGAAAGAAAAACAAGCCAGCAAAGGAGGGATGGAAGGAGGGCCCTGGCACAGGACAGGAGGCAGGAGGGTTTAAGCACATTCAGGCAGGAGCAGTCCAGTCTGGAAAATCAATTACAGGAAGATAATTTGTCTGCTTGATTAAGGCCTCCTCGGGGTATTGGCTTGTTGCTGGGGAGAGCAGCAGAAGGTACTGCTCTGGTCAGAGCACGATCCGTCACTTATTACTGCAGTCCCGGCACAGCAGTCAGCAGGAGGGGAGGCTAAACAGAGACAGACCAGCACATTGCTTTTGTCCTTCTGATATTTCCCCTCACTTATCACTGTCTGCACTCAGAGCCAAGTCACTCAAAAGGGACCCCAAGAGCCATTCAAACTTGCCTCCTGTTAAGAAAGCTGCTGTTGCAGACACAGCAGGAAAGTTGGCACCTGAATGCTGAGGCCCAGCAGAGGGAGCGGTGCCGGCGCAGACGTGCCCTCCAGTGGTCCCCACTCCAGCCTGGCTCCCATCTCAAATTGGGAGCTCTAAGGCTTGTTCCTTGTAGCTTTATAATAAGAAGGTCAGAGGAGGCTTTGCACAGACTCTGATAAGGCTTGGGGTCAGGCAGGGGGGTGGGGGATGTCCCTATGTTTAGGTCTTTCTGCCCATCCCCCCACCAGGATCTGCCATGGGTTGACAGCACTGGGGAAGATAATTCCAGGAGCCACAGGTTGTGTTTGCACAAAACAGGCACTGAAGTAATCACAGGCTTGCATCTATGCTCATTTATCCTGTATTACCCCACACCCCCAACGAGGTCTTACTCTAAACCAGCACAGGCCAGAGAAGGCCTCTGTCTCATTTCTTGTACCAGCTCCTGCTGCATTTAGGGGACTATTTGCCCTATCCAGTCAGGTTTACACTCAAGATTCATTTCTCCCTGCTTAATCTGACCAAGATGAATGCACACCTCCACTGTGCATTTGATGCTTGGTTTTGCTAGAACAAGTACTCCGTATCAAACACCCAGATAAAACATCTAGCACAGCTAAAGGGATAACATTGTGCCAGGGGAGACCTGAGACTCTTCCAGCTTTGAGGCCAGTCCCTGACAGTTTTTATACAAGTTGAACCCTCTTTTGTGGTAGATTGTACTACACCACTGCCAGTGGTTGGTGACAAACTATAAATAAAAAAAAAAAAAAAAAAAAGAAAAAACCAAACCAAAACAAAAACCACACATTGTTTTTCCAGGGGAGCTGAAGAAATGCAGCTCCCCGTCAGCCTGGGCTAATAGCAAGCATCCCTTGGATTACCAGGAAAAGGGAGGCTATCCCAGCGCCATCCAGACTGCAGCATGCACAGTTCACAACTCCTACTGCTATTGCAGCAGCTAAGAGAACTGCTTTGCTGCTATGAGCAATGTGGTTGATTAATTCTTCACAGTCCTATCTGTGGGGCCCTTATACTGGAGAGAATCATAGAATGGTTTAGGTTGGAAAAGGCCTTTAAGATCAAGTCCAACCATTACCCTAACCCTGCCATCCCACCATTAAACCATGTCCCTAAGCACCTCGTCTGCCCAGCTTTTAAAAACCTCCAGGGATGGGGACTCAACCACTTCCCTGGGCAGCCTATTCCAAGGCTTGACAACCCTTTCTGTGAAACAAATGTTCCTAATGTCCAATCTAAACCTCCCCTGGCACAATTTCCTCTTGTCCTATCGCCCATTACCTAGGAGAAGAGACTGACAATTTTCAAGTGCAGGCCCTTTGGAGAACTCACTTGAGTACTTTCAGACCAATTATAATTCACCAGTACATCAGTCTCTGCTGTTTGATGGTAGAGACAAGCACTGCTCCCCTTGCCCCTCCTGTTATCCACTGAGGAGTAGTCTGGGTCTTGTAAAGGGTAAACATTTAGTAATAGATAAGGCTCTTTTAGACCTTTAGGTCTGAATATAAGTTATTCCATCCTGTTATTACCTCTCTACCATGAGAGTTCATTAGCTCATGTGCATGCTTGCAGATACCACCTCAGTGTTGCACAGTGAATTCCCATAGGAAGCACAAGGACACGTAAAGGTAGCCTGAACAAAGCACTGCTAAACCCAGAGCAGGAATTTGTGGGCTTGAGGATTGACAGGGCAGGCCACGAGGGCTTTTCCCCTCACACTCCTACAAGCACAGCTACAGGTTTGCCAGCATTAAATGTGTCCATGAAGGGCTTGTTGCCTGCACTGGCACACATTTATTCGCTTGTATTATCACACGCTCCTAGGGGATTATTAAGGACTGAAATTTCCAGCGTGCCATGAACTGCATATGTAAAGCAAAGCTATAGAGGCAGCGTCACATCCTCTCCATAACTACAGAAGGGCCTGGTAACACTAAGGCTCATAAGGACATTCTCACCTGCCATGGGAGCTCCTGCGGTGCTGCAGCCTCCTCCAAGGAAATTGCATGTCCCCATGTACCCATTGCTCTCAGGGTCTGGCTGTGCCACAGGTGAGCAGGACACCACTACAGAGAGCCAGATAGGAAGAGGGGGGAACCTTCAAATTAGTGGTTAATTTTTAACCCACCCTGCTCCTCCCAAGCTCAACAAGGCACTTACAGACCCACTGAGCACGCAATTAACAACACTAGCAGGGGTCCTACTAGGGCTTCTATATCCTTAAAGCTAGATGTGTCTGAAAGGACAGCAACACCAAGGGATTAGGTTCTCATATGTTACACCAACACGCATTTCTACTCAATCTTGCAACATATCCCCACCAGCTCATATAGCCCCACAGCTCCCACTTCTCACAGCACTCACAAACCCACAGTCCCTCATAAAACTCCACATCCCACTCCCTTTGCATACCCAACAGCCCCATAGCACAGCTTTGCCTGCTGTACAGCTTGCCTACCTCCTCCTCACTCCACTTGCCAGGCAGAGAGCAAAAGAAATGGCTGAAACTATCTCTCTAGATTTCTTTTAGCACCCTTATGCCCTCCCCGCCTCCTCACAGCTGCAGCAGATCCCAGATGATCTGCTGACCACAGAGACCCAAATAGGCAGCCACTGGTGCTGCTTACTGACTAAGTGCTGCTTGGGAGGGCTTTTAAAGGGACACGCAGTAAATCTACTACTGGAGTGCAGTTTGCCTATAGATTATTTTCCTGATAAAATACCCGTTTCTCAGCCTTTTAACACTGCTGTCCTCTGCAGTAGCCCTGCAGCACAGTCTGTTTGCAACAGACCTTGGTGTTCACCTGGAGAGGTGGCACACAAACAGCCCCCACACAGTGCAAACCAGTGCACTTGGAAAGTTTGCTTGCCTTGGTTATTTTTGCTTTCCATACATGAGTGTCTGTACATGCACATACAGACAAACCCTTTGAAATGTGCTAGTGGAAGGCACTTTAGCATCTTACGTTTAGCCAGTTCTGCCAAAGTTTATGTGTAAGTGCTGAGAATGTACAGGAAAGCCCCACGACACAGTCTGCCCAGAGGCATGGTGCAAACCTTGTGATTGTTTCCCAAATGAGCTCCATTAACCCTTTTCTTGACATTCTAGCCCATGTTCTTAATGAGTTGTCCCCTGTCCCAAGTGGTCTGTCACTTGGGTGAGAGACGGATGAGAGCGGTCCCCTTAATGATCTCTCTCTCTACCCCTTTCCGTCATTAGCCTGAAGACCAGCCTGCAGAAGAAGGTGAGCCAGGACTCCATGGATTTGTCAGGGATCCCCCTGACCATGCGGGATGTCCACCGCATGGCCTACTACCTGCAGAACAATGGGGACCACCTCACCTCTGTGGACCTGAGCTTCACCGAGCTGAATGACGACATGGTGCGCCTGCTGCTGCCCTTCCTCTGGGCACTACCCAAGCTGACTCACCTTTCCCTCAATGGCAACCGACTGACACGGGCTACCATGAAGGAGCTGACTGACACCATGAAAGACATGAACAAGTTCCCTTGCCTGGCCTGGGTTGACCTCGGCAACAATGTGGACGTCTCCTCCATGCCACAGCCATTGCTTGTGGGCCTGCGCAAGCGCCTCAGCCAGCAGACCACACTGCCTACCATCTATGAGGCGCTCGACTGCGACTCGGAGATCTCCAGCGGGCACGAGGGCAGCCAGCCAGAGGACGAAGCAGCAGGAAGCACCCCACCACGTGCTTTCTCTCAGCAGGGCTGCGAGAGGTGACTGGACAACAGGCTGGCACTGGCACACTGAAGCCACCCCAAGGAGAAGTCTCGAGTACAAACATCAAGCAGAGGGCCAGCTTTACCGGCTTCCTTTGGCTCTTTTCTCTCGCCTTCCTTACATCTCCCCCCCACTTGCTGTGAGACAAAAGCCTGTCGTCCCCCCACAACGTGCTCCACTCCCTCCCCTCACTGCCAAACCCATCGCCCACGTTCCAGAGAGAAACCAGTGACTTACAGTGAACCTGGTCCCCAGGCAGGGTCTCACTGGAAGACGGGAAAAGACCTGTCGGAGTCAAGAATATCCTCCAGCAGCCATTGGGTTGAGGGAAAGGGATGGGGGGGAACCTAAAACAGAAACAGGCTTGTAGTTTACTTCCTTTCTTCCTTTTCCTATGCACCTTGGCAACCTTGGGACCTGCAGCCTTGAGTGTGAATGGAGGTACCCCAAGAGCCTAGCTGCTGTGGAGCTTAGTTGAAGGGCTCAGAGGCCAGAGCTGGAGCCCGGCAGTGTGTCTCCCTCTTGTGTCTGGCTCCTTTTGTTTTGTTTTTTTCCTATTGTGTGTTTTGTATTAACGTCTGAACAAAGGGACTTGGTCAGAGACCATTGGATTGCATAGGCTGGGGCGGACACATGGCTTGGAACTGCAGCATCAGGATATTTGCTGTGTGACCGGGGTGAGAGGGAGGGGAAGGAGGTATGTGTTGGTGGGAGCATGGGGGATGGGATGAGTTGGGATGGGATGGGGGGAGAGGGAGGGGGAGCAGTCTTGTGGATTAGCAGGATTGGTTTCAAAAACTATGCTTTTGTACTACAATTAGAAGTTCCAAGTGAAATTGAGGAAAAGCAGACAGCTAAGCGCATAACTGTGGCACTAGAGGAGCGAGCAGTGAACACGCCAGAGGTGGGCACTTCCCAAACTAAAGCGCAAAGCTTTGGCTCCTCATGGCATATTGCATACCTCGTAATACAGACATGACGTGAGCAGCTGCATCACCATTTCCAATGCTGTCCAAGAACCAAACCACTGATGCAATATTTCTAGTGTTTTCCACATTGCTCATGCTCTATGTAAACATAATAAACAGTTCTCTTGAACATGAGCGTGAAGCACTATGGAGTCTGAGTATCTGGGTTGTTCACAAATTGAACCAGCAGCCCAGACACTGCAAGAATACGGACTGGGAGTCCTCATGCAGTGCCTGCATGGTGTGGGAGAGGATCAGCAGGTACCATTCACATTGGTGAGAGTGGTTCATTCCTCTGAGGAAAGTGAAACATGGATGTTCATTTGTGGTAGGGTGCTGCCCGTCTTGTTGCAAGGTGCTGATACAAATAAACTGATCAGACCTTAGCTGATAAGTCAAGTTCTCTCCATTATCTGTCCCCACAGGAATTCAAAGAGCAGGTACTTTTTTGAAAGAGTTAAAAGTTAAAGAAATCAGACATATTAAAAAAAAAAAAATCTAAATCCTGGCCCTCCTAAATTAGCAATGGTAACTTTGCCTTCCTCTGCTGATTCTCTCTGGGAGTCTCAACACATATAGGCAACTCTCATATATTAAGCCACACAAATCCAGATGAGATAGATACACCTTCTGTGCTCCTTGCTGATTTTGCAAGGCACCGCAAGAAGCAAATGGGTGATATTTATCAAGGGATTTATGCCCTCTGGGCCAAGAGTGTGAGGGCACCAGAAGGTATCGGTGTCTGATCAATGCCTGTCGCAAACACTGATTTATGAATCCTGCTGACACAGTTTAATTTAGTAGCAGTTTAGAATTTTCTTACGACATATTGCAGGATTTGATTGTGGTATTTTAATAATACTCAATCATCAGTCAATTAACAAAGTGATTAGACAAAATTAATTAAAACAGCACCTTAGTTAAAGATTCAAAGATGGCAAGGTTTGCTCTATTACTACATGGAAGAAGGACACAAAGGAAAATTAAGTTGCACTCGAGTTAGAATGATTCACAGCGAGATTGCGGATGCAGGGGATAAGGAGGACCCTCCCATTGAGTCATGAGGTTCAGAATAGACCCTCTTGCTTTTTAAATTCCTTTTCAGAGAGGAGTCTAGGTGTGGCTAGGTCCAATCTTAGTCTGAGACTTGGTCAACAGTTTATATCTAAGAATAATATATATATATATCTAGCAGCAGTATAAGACTCACTTTGTAATTAAATCATACATCTACAGCCTACTTAATTTACACATGCATATACACACACAAAGATATGAGTATATATGCACATATATTTATAAAGGATACCTGTTAAAAATTCCCCTTGAATTCAGTGAACTATTTACATCGAATGTCTTGGCATTTAACGGGCAAGGGTTGAGCCTCAAGGAGTGAAGGGTTTCAGCCCAGGCTTCACTGTTGGTCTTTGGCAACGGACCTCTGATTTTAGCAAACTTTAAGAGTTTGCTAGCCCTAAGAGGTGTGCCGCTTAGAGGGAGGTGCTGGCCACAGCCCGCTGCAGTCCAGGAGAGCTCAAAGGGCCTCACTTAGGACCGCCATTTTATAGGATGGCGAGATCTTTGGCTTTACTCATCAGTGAATTTTCATCCAAGCCACAATACGCATCGGTAATCACTGCAATTCTGGTAACGATGGTACCATGCCGCTCGGGCTACAATTCAGGTAAAGTACGTTTCAAGGCTATCAGGAGATAACTGATTGTCCCCATTCTCACTCCCCACCTCAGCCATATAGGAGTTTCTGGTACAGATAGTGCCACCCTCTGCCTCAGCCATGAAGGAGTTTGATAGAATTAAGGAGCACCTAGCTGACCAACTCAGCACACCAAGGCCACGGTCTGGCAGGAGTTACTAAGGTAATAAAGTGGTCAAAGAGAGAAAAAGTTTGGAGGGGCAGAGGATGCACCACCACACTGCCAGAAGCCCCAAATCCAGTCCCCTGAGGAGGAAGGCTGGGTTTAGAGATACTGTGCTGAGCATTACAACCCGACACTGTAAATGCTGGACCCAGTCCGTTCATGCTCCGGACATTGGAGCAGGAACTCAATAACCTTCATGTTGTTAATGTGCAAACAGAAGTGCTGTAAAGTCTCTGTCCTGATGACCAAAAAGAGCAGAGGATACAAGGTAAAGCAAATACAGTTAGGGCCAGGTGCTAGCTGCCCCATCCCAGTGAAGGTGGAAGAGAAAAGGCCCTGAAAAAGCCAGAATATGATGCTTGGCCAGGAAGATGTGGAACAGGGAGTGCAAATGCAACCAGGTCCCAGCACAACCCAAGGTGGGAAGGGAGCATGTGCTCCCCTGCACAGTTGTGACCCAAAGCCACTTTTTAGCCCTTCTAGTGAATTTGGAGAAGTGGAGTAATTTCTACGGTAAAAACTGTTTGGGGAGCATGAGATTGTTTGGCAAAAGGCAAAAGGGAAATGGTCTGAAGTTGCGTCAGGGCAGGTTTAGGCTAGACATTAGGAAAAATTTCTTCACCGAAAGGGTTGTCAGGCTCTGGAATGGGCTGCCCAGGGAGGTGGTCGAGTCCCCATCCTTGGAGGTATTTAAAAGACAGGTAGATGAGGTGCGTAGTGATATGGTTTAGTGGTGGGATGGCAGTGCTAGGTTAACGGTTGGACATGATGATCTTAAAGGTCTTTTCCAACCTAGACAATTCTATAATTCTATGAAAACAGAGCTGCTCAAGTGGCCATTCCCATTACTGGGGGAAGGGCTGTGCTGCTTCCAGAGGTCACCGCTTGCCTCTCTTCTCACAACCCTTTTTTCCCTCCTCAGCATGGTATGTGTTTCCTCCCCTGCTGTGGAAGAGATGGTATTAATTTTTTTATTTTCTTTTCCTTCCAAAATACCTTTTATCAAAAATGAAAAGCATTTCAAATGTCAGCAAGATCTGCTTAAAATCTTACAGTCTAAGCAGAGCAGCACTCTCTGCCAAGAAGAAAACTTAGGCACGACGCATTTAAATGAAGGCTTGGAGCCGCCTGGTGAGTCAGTGGCATATCTAGAAAGAGAGAGCAGGGGTGCTGAGCATTCATTTTTTGGCTCTGAGCACTGTCTCTGTAAGGCTCTGCATCAAGGCATCTTCACAGCTTTTCCATAACAGTGGTACCCCCCTGAAATGAGGCAAGACCCCCAGCTTGCAGCCCACCACTGATGCAGCTCTTCCCTGCAGAGTCCCTGGCCCAGCCCCAGCGAGGATCTGTGCAGCCCGTTTCCAGCCCTGCTGGAAGTTGTGGTTTTGGTCCGAGCTCTGCTAATCAGCAGGATGGAGGTGAGACATTCAACCCCTTGCAAGGGAATTCTGTGCTAATCACTGGCAGTGCCTGGCTGCCAGTTGGCAGCTCCAGGAGCTGGAGATAAAGCATGGCTTGAAACAGACTGGTTCAGCTGAGCAGCTGTGGGATCCATCTTTATTCCTCTATACGCACTTGGTTGCTTTGCCATAGAAACCTCCCCATGGAGAACCAGTTGTGAATAAATACATGCAAATGCAAATTATGAGGTCCTGGCCTAGGAAACTGCCACTGCTTCTTGGATGAACTCCGATGGGCTGCAACTTAGCTGTGGAGAAACTATCACAGCACACCCAGCTGTTCCCTGCCAGCTCCTGCCTGCACTGACAGGTGAAGGACTGTGGGTACACAGTGGTGTACATCCAGCTCCAGAGCCGTGACGTGCCCCAGTGCCCCCCTACAGACGAGATGCACGCTCAAGGAGCAGGCCTGGCAGCCCTTAATCCAGAGGAAGCTATTTCCATAAATGCTGAGTTCACAAACTGGAGAGGATGACACAAACGAGCCTTTCCTTGCACTGGACGAGAAAGCGCAGAGCTCTTAAAGGGAATTAAAGGGATGAGCTGCTAATTCAGGTCTCCTCACTGATACCCAGAGGGAACAGCTTTGTTATGCTCCTAAATCAGTGTATCCCTGCCCTGCAGTGGGCCTCTGTCTCCTGCTGGATAATGCAGCAGGAGAGATGGATCCCTGTCATACTGAATACTCTCCTCAGTACCGTACATGCTGGTGCAGGGCTGTAACCTCAGCTGCTTAAAGCAGCAAACACACCTCAGTATCAAGGCTTGTACACCAGGCTATCTCCACCATTTGCAGCTTCCCAGCCTCCCTCCTTCCCTCTCTGTGCAGGATGCAGATGGTCAGCCTGTGATGGGACCTACGTCATGTAGCAGAGAGGAATCTGTTTCTGCACAGGGTGGTATCACAGCCCCTTCCCCACCCCTCACCTCCCACCAGGGGATCAGTGTCACAATAGATCTCAAA